AACTACGAGGGTCATTTCACACTAACTACGAGGGTCATTACACACTAAATACGAGGGTCATTTATTACACACTAACTACGAGGGTCATTACACACTAACTACGAGGGTCATTACACACTAACTAGGGTGGTCATTCATTACACAATAACTACGAGGGTCATTCATTACACACTAACTACGAGGGTCATTACACACTAACTACGAGGGTCATTACACACTAACTACGAGGGTCATTACACACTAACTACGAGGGTCATTACACACTAACTACGAGGGTCATTACACACTAACTGCGAGGGTCATTACACACTAACTACGAGGGTCATTACACACTAACTACGAGGGTCATTACACACTAACTACGAGGGTCATTCATTACACACTAACTACGTGAGTCATTACACACTAACTACGAGGGTCATTCATTACACAATAACTACGAGGGTAATTCATTACACAATAACTACGAGGGTCATTCATTATACAATAACTACGAGGGTCATTCATTACACAATAACTACGAGGGTCATTCATTACACACTAAACACGAGGGTCATTCATTACACAATAACTACGAGGGTCATTCATAACACACTAACTACGAGGGTCATTCATTACACACTAACTACGAGGGTCATTCATTACACACTAACTACGAGGGTCATTCATTACACACTAACTACGAGGGTCATTCATTACACAATAACTACGAGGGTCATTCATTACACAATAACTACGAGGGTCATTCATTACACACTAACTACGAGGGTCATTCATTACAAAATAACTACGAGGGTCATTCATTACACACTAACTACGAGGGTAATTCATTACACAAAAACTACGAGGGTAATTCATTACACAAAAACTACGAGGGTAATTCATTACACAATAACTACGAGGGTCATTCATTACACAATAACTACTATGGTCATTCATTACACAATAACTACGAGGGTCATTCATTACACAATAACTACGAGGGTCATTCATAACACAATAACTACGAGGGTCATTCATTACACAATAACTACTATAGTAATTTTTTTACGCACTAACTACAAGGGTCATTCATAGAGATGTATGAATGCCTTGGTCAGTTGACAGGCACATGATGATGATGATGATGATACAAATCCTATACTGGTTTTAAAAAAAAAATAAACTAGTTGCGTATCCTTGACAAGCCTTTGAAGAACCAACCCCATACATTTTTGGCATTTCAATACTCGTGTTCTGATGTTTAATGAGAGAGATTTATTACATAAAATACTTTTCATCTTCTGAAATGCTGCCTTTGACTGACGAATTCTGCTCCTAATATCTGTCACACATCGTCCATCTGATGTTATGAATGTTCCCAATTACTTGAATTTATTGACTTGGTTATGCACTTTCAATTCTATTGCTATATCACATTTTGGAGATTTCTTCTTTGAAATAACTATTGTTTCTGTTTTCTTGCATAGGAATGCAAATGTTACGTTCAGTATTTTGCCTTTCTTACTGAACGGTCAGTTCTCGGTATCTCTGTCGAAACCAAGGCAGGACAAACCGTACACCGATGAGATCAAACCCGGCACCACGGAATGAAGAAGCGTGTTCGCAACCTCTAAGCCACCTGGTTTACGAAAGTTTTCTTCTTCGCCTTCACCAGCTGTACACTCTGGCGGAAAGTTCTGGTTGCTCGTCCACTACTGAACTGCAGTCCTGCTCCAGAACCTGAGTGTTGCGTGTGCATCAGTTTTACAGATCTCATTCTCTTGAAAACAGACTGTTGGTTCCTTGCCTCTCCGGCAGATGCACTCAGACTTCAAAGGAAGCTCCCCAGTTAGTCGACTCTTACGACATGCTTTTGGGGAGGCAGTGGGTCTATTCTTGTTTTCCCCACAATGGGGCCCCGGAACCCACACTTGGGTTTACGGAAGTGAAATCATGGACAATTGGACTATGTGTGAAAAACAGTTTGAAACGGCGGAGATGTGGTTTTATAGACGAATGATGAGAATACCACAGACAGATGAAAAGAGTAATGAAGAAGTCTTGAAAGGAACTAACTAACAGAGTAAACTTGATGCCCAAATCAGAAGGAGACAATCTACAGTATGTGGTCCTGTCGTGGGAAAGGGAAAACTAGAGTACATCGTTACTGTGGCAAGGCTGGGGGGAGATTGGGGCCGAGGAAGACCGAGAGAAAATATGCTGGACAGTGTGACATCATGGCATGGAGGGTCATCTGTATTAGAATGGATAGAAAGTTCATAAAACAGAAGGTTGTGGGTAGGCATGACTAACTTTTTCTGTTTTTTTTTTTTTTTTTACTTCCTTTTTTACCGCTTCGGGTGTCGAGAGAGATATAATGCCCTGCTTCGTGCTCTTCTGACTGCTTCAACCAAATACACATCGTGGCGCTGTAGAGTTTCTCTGATGTTATCTTCCCATCTTGTTCTTGTTCTTCCTCTTGCTCTAAGTCCATTTCCTCTTTTGGTATGTGCCTTGT